GGTCTACAAGTGCTGGTGTACCCTAATGTGCTGCTGGTGTCCTGTACATGTGCTGGTGTACTCTCCCTCCTGCAGGTGCCTTGTCACGGGTTGTGGTAGGGATGTCCTGGTCATTGTAATACAGCTCAAGTGGCCAAGCTGGTAGTCATCATACCTACCTTTAAATTCACACTGCATTGGTTTGGTGTGCTGTTGGATTGTTTTTCATCACAAGGCACTTTGTTGTATTGCTCCTGACAAATATTGTGAGTCTTGTTTCATTGTCTGTGTCAGTCATTGTGACATTTGTGTAGACAATGCTGTGTAAAAGTTTTATCCACCACATGATGGGGACATTTGATCTTGATAAAGAACTACCACTCCACTCATGGAATGGAGTGGGGGTTTTGTCAATTTAAGGTGGATGTAATCTCTTGGTCAATTGCGTTGTTTGAATAGCTGTTATTAGTGAGCAGTTGCTTGCACTGTTAAAGTTCATGCTGCCTGCTGGACCAGCAGGATCAATATTTTAGAGCATGTTGTCATTCTAATGGATGGATGAAGTAATCAAGCACCATGAGCTTGAGTGACGCAAGATAACCATTTTTCAAGTAGCGCAGTGACCAAGGGGTAAGGACCACCTTGAATAGACAGAAACTGAAACCACTTGGACAAGAAATCAAACCATCAACTTTTTATCAAAATTGTGTGTCCTGATGATAAAGTGGATGAAAAAGTTTTGCAGAACATTGTAAGGACAAATATCATGCCAGCTGATTAAGACACTGGAATGGTATGTACCATCTACTATCAGAGGACAACTAGTAGCCTTGGTAATCAAAATCGACTTGACAGCAGATGTAAACCAAATAAAGCACACCAAACCAGTATCACAGCAGACTTTAAATGACCCTTCAAAGGCCACTGGCTCCACAACCCTACTGTTATTGGGATAACCATGATAGCTTTATCACAGTGCATGACAATGCACCTGCAAGGGGAGTGCCAGACCAGCATATGTGCAAAACCCACAATCAAAACTCTTACACTCTGACTTAACTGAAAACACAAAGTGAGGCATGAAAGAAATATTGCTGTCATGAGGCAATTCTTTTCGTTACAGGAAGAAGTTGGCAGCTTCAAAAAAACTGCCAACTGTCACTGAGACTATTTTGAAGAGAAGGAAGTTGAGGGAGGAGAGGAAGAATGCGGGACATGCTAAAGCGATCAAGGTATGGCCGCGTGGGGAAAGGATGCCTGAGGTTGAATGTAAGGGGTGTGGATGATTTGTCTCATAGCCTTCAAGGAGATGAGCAAGTTGGGCAACACCGACTTACAGCTCCCTTTGCACCATTGGCATTGTAATGCAGCATTTAAGGCCCTGGTTGTAGCTGTTTATTGGCTAAAATAAGATGTCTTGCATCCTGATTGGTCACTGCCTGCATTTGGATTCACCCATCAGTGAAGGGGTAGGCTCGAGTCACGTTTGGTACTCGCCCCTTCCTGGCAAAGCTGGCTTGCAGTTGGTGGGAGTGGCGCGCTCAGGTGATGCCCAGCACAGGATGAGTGATCCCAAGTGTTGCGGTACATCAAGATTTTGTCTCATGATAATGTTGTTGACCTAAGTTCGTAAGAAGGTGGTGGGGTAAGTGTGCTTGTCACGAGCACTAATGCTGATCCGAAAATCCCTCCAACATATAAGCTTGCAGTAAGTAAAGCGTGGTTGTAAAGGATCATTCAGCAGCTGTCATCATCGACCTTTTCTTTCTCAGGACCGCCAGCTGCGCAAGCAGAAGAAAAAGCTGATCTTCAAACGTGCTGAGCAGTATGTGAAGGAGTACCGCGAGCGTGAGCGGGAGATCATCAGGCTGAAACAAGAGGCCAAGAAGGAGGGCAACTTCTATGTACCGGAGGAGGCCAAGTTGGCATTCGTCGTGCGAATCCGGGGTGTGTTGGGTCTGCATCCCAAGGTCCGCAAGGTGCTGCAGCTGCTGCGTCTGCGCCAGATCAACAACGGCGTGTTTGTCAAGCTGAACAAGGTATGTGTCGGAAGATTTATGCCATAATTGTTGTGGATCATTGACCCGTGGTCATTTTGACTTAACTCCATACTGAAAGCATGTCAAAGTGGAGCAGGCATTATAGAGCTGTGCATGTCTTGTAATGATGTAAAACTTCCTTACATGTCCTGGTTTCAAAGTGAAGATATTCATTTCATAATGGAGATGCTGACCTCTTCATTGTGTCTGGCAGGCCACCATCAACATGCTGCGTATCGCCGAGCCATACATCGCCTACGGCTACCCGAGCCTGAGCACGGTGCGCCAGCTGCTGTACAAGCGGGGCTTCGTCAAGGTGAACAATCAGCGGTTGCCCATCACCAGCAACGAGCTGATCGAGAGCAAGGTCGGCAGCCGCGGCATCATCTGCATCGAAGACATCGTGCACGAGGTCTTCACCGTCGGACCCAACTTCAGGAAGGTCACCAACTTCCTGTGGCCGTTCAAGGTATGACTATCCGGTACTTGTCGGGGGGCATATGTTCTGTGCGCTTAGCGTGCAGGATGATGTATTGGGACATTTGTCTCATTAAATGTCAAGAACTATCTGCATAATGGTAACTGCTTCTGATGTTTTGTCTTGTCTTGTCTTGTCACTTGTCCAGCTCTTGCATTATATGCACTATCTGAACGATGACATGGGAGTCTTCATTACTAGTCCGACCACACTGCCTGTCATGGATTGAGACTGACACATGCTTCATGTCATTTCAGCTGGGCACCCCCACTGGCGGCTGGGCCCGCAAGTCGAACCACTTCGTGGAGGGCGGCGACTTCGGCAACCGGGAGGGCATGATCAATGAGCTGCTCAAGCGCATGATTTAACCTGTCCCGTCTGCCGCAAATATACGTATGCCCCCTTCAGTGGTACCAGTGTGTTTGTTTGTGCCACAGCTGATTTGACAAAGTGGGTTGATGATGTAATGGGATGCAGTATCGAAGCTCGTCAAAACTAGGTAAGTGGACGATTTGGTTTTAGGACTTTGCAATTGTGTGGTGCGTATCTGCACAGAGAAGCACCACTGGATGGTTTTATGACTTGCATTGGGTGGACTCGTCCAGGCACCTCGTCCGTTTCTCATAGCCGCTTCAGTGGGCAACATCGTGTATCTGCAATATAGCTGATGGTAGAGGTGTTGTTCTCCGCGGATGTGAACGTGTGTACGTCCGGACACGATTGTGCGGATCCTAGTCTTACCCCTGTCCTGAATTGCAGGTTTTGTTCGTCCTGCTGCGCCTCCGACGTCGAAGTTTGCATGTCTGCAGCTCTGGTGAGTTCAAGAGCAGTGAGCATGTGAATGTTTTGCTTTGAAGACACTGATGACAAAACGATCCCTCTAAACCTACCATACCATGAGGAGTTCGTTTGACTGAACTTACTGTCGGATGCGTTGTGATTTTGTGGCCCTGGCATTGGCTTTATCTAACATTGACCTTCCTGTTCCAGCTGTGACCTTTTCGTCATGCACTGAGGATGGAACTTTTGGTTGGATCCTCTGGACCGAAATTTGCCGCGCAATCAATTGCATTTTCTAGGTGAGTATTTCTGGTTGTCTGGGGTCAATTTATTGGCTGTACGATGTGTACTGCTATTGTTCTACTGATGATGCTGGAAGACATCACATGTTTGATACTGTGTGTAGTGCAGTAGCAGGCCGTGCATGCCCAGAAGTGTCGCTAACCGGCTTGTGCTCTCTCCAACCACAGCGGCGGAGTGTGGCGGCACGGCGGTTACAGCTGCTGTCCACTGGAATGTGTCCAAGCTGACTGGTAAGTGTAATCCAGTTTTCATGTGCAGATCTTCACAGAAATGATGGGTTTACTTTCGTTCTTCCTAATTCTTATTGAAGGAAGTCTTTTCAAACTGATCACAAACATGTTCCCACATACTAGCCACTTTGGATTTGTTTTGACTGGTTCGATTTTGTTTGCAGGGCTCCAGAGACTATGAATGAAGGCTGTTCACCCCTGCAGGACCCTGGATGAGAACCCCGTGAGTGGAGAGATGGATGTGTTACGCTGAGTTGTGCCTCACGGCCGCGCCCCCGGGGGAGACGGCGCAGAGCAGAGATGTGTTCACTGTCAGACGATCGGGACGACTGTCCACTGCCTCGAGACACCGCTAATGTGACAGTACGCCCTCTACGTATAATGCGTGATTTGCCATTTACCTTTGCCTTGATACCCGGGAGTATCGTCAGGTCTCCCCCCTCCCCCCCCCCCCCTCTGGGTGGTAAACCGTGGGGGACCGGGCGGCGGCTGGCCCACCACACGTAACATGGATGATGGTCATACTTTCGTTCTTCCTATTGCCAGTGATGGAAGCCTATTTGCTGACATGATAACTTTAAAAAGCAGTGTGTCTTGTTTCCTGCACGCCCTGAGTGAGCTGTTTGTCTGCAGGCCCGGTTCGGCTGGGTCCCGGCTGCGGCTCGTCCGGCGCTGCTCCGCTCGCCACCGCCAGGTGAGCGTCACCCGTCACATGCCGCGTCCTGACCGGCGGCGGCGGCGGCTTCTTACCCATTCACGGCCAGGTGTCCGCCTGCCCGGCCGCGATCAGTTGAGAGCCGACAGCGACGCTCCGCCGGCGGTGGGCGGCTGGCGCCAACACGGCCCCGCCGTCCGCCGCCGCCGGCGACACACCAGACACCGTCTGTCCGCTCGAAAGTCTCCAGATTTGCGCGAGTTTGGCCAGCGGTTGGGTGGGGAAGGTCTAGTCGGGCTAGCTTCCGAGGCAATTGCTTTCCTGGATGACTGGTACAGAGGCCGTATGCTGATGGCAGTCACAGGTGTATGCAGGGACGGGCCGCCATGTATGTGCGGATGGTTGGAGGCAGTCGTGTATTGCTCCGACGCCTGGTGTGTGACTGATCCCAGTAAGCTCCCCATTGGGAGTGTGTCACCCAGCGGTGACAACCGTCTGTGGATCGGAGGGCTCACGTGCGGCGTCGATCACTGCCGCAGGACGCGACCCGGCGTGTCCAAACACAGACGGGATGGACTCTGGAGGTGTCGAGGTTCCGAGGCAGGCCTACGTCCAGCTCGCATGGCTGCCTGGATTTCAGACACATGGTGAGTCCCCCCACTGTGAGTGTTACCACGGTGTCTCATATTACTTTCCTGTGATGAGTTCAGCCTACTGTTCGCGCTCTGACCGCCTGTGGAGATGATTGTAGCCCTGACTGCTGCATGCCTGAGGCACTCCCTGGGTGCTGGTCCTGATTTGTGACGGCCACACGCCCCGTCCGCAGGTGTTGTTTCGGCGCTGTGAAGACTGGGATGTCTGACTGGTGACTTTATGAGTCACATTGCAGCTGGCCACGGCGTTGGGTACCGCGGTAAGTTTGCGACTTCTGTTATGAACATGTCCATTGTTGCTGCCATTCAAAAGCAATGCTATCCTTCTCATGCGAATACGTTACTGATACAGATACGTGCCTGGACGCGTGATCTGCGTTGCTGTCCATTGGCCGTATGATCTCCGGAATGCGCCCCTGTTATCCAGGCACAGTCCGCTGTAGATGGTCCCAGTGCGCGGATGGCCCCATGCTTGGTGCCATTGGTGGCTAGCTTCGCCCGTCGATAACGTTGAACGTGTAGGACGCGTGCTGTGACTCCGACGGCGGTGGCTTCTTACCCATTCACGGCCGGGTGTGTGCCTGCCCGGCCGCGATCAGTTGAGAGCCGACAGCGACGACGGGAGGGCGGACGGCGCGCGCCGCCCATGGCCCTGCCGCCCGTCCACGCCGGCGACACCTCTCCCCCCTCCCCCCCCCCGCCGTCGTGCCCACTTGGCGTCCGGCGCCGCTCAGGCCGGCTCCATCACCGCCTGTGACCATCACCTGGTTTTGTCGGCAGGTTCCTGGTGTGGCGCGACGAGGAGCGGCTGCCTGACTAGTGGCAGGAGCCCAGTGGCAAGATGACTAGGTACGTCCCTGGCAGCGTGCCGCGGCCTACGAGTCGGCGTTCGTGTCGGGAGACAGGACAGCGTGGAGACGTGATGCATACCAAGAGCCAATCCAATGACAGCTGTGATTACCAATGATAGGACTGACTGCCACCCTGTTTCCTGTGGACAGATGTTTGTCCTTGTCGTGCTCACACTGTCGTTTATCGGCAGCGGACTTCTGGAGAAGACGGCAAGCTGGTCGCGGCGCAGGGATGGGCTCCAGCCGGTGTCTCAGGTGAGTCAAGCTCGATTTGGGGCTCTTGGTTAATTGCAGATGCTATGTGCAAAACAGATGGTCTTTGTGTATTATGGCATAAGTTATACTCAGTTATGCTGACACCTGTTGGTAATATGATGGCATTGTTGCGCATAATCCAAAACTGCCCAATCACAGTTTTACAATAAACCTCGTGGTTTGCTTTTCTCTTCAGATGATGATATTTGGCGAACGGGCGGACCGAACAGCCAGCAGGCTTTGTTGAGTGTTCCCTTACTGATGTCTCCCATAACCAGCACGCCTGGTGTGATAGAATCCTGTAACTGAAGGCCTGCATGTCTCTCCGCCAGACCTCTGCAAGGCACAGTTCTCAGCCGGACTCATCTGCGGAATCTTAAGTGTACACCGTCCACCCGAGGCAGCAGGTAAGGCACTCTCCTGTTGTGCCGCCGTTCCGCCGATCTCACATGATGACAAGTGTCCTGCAATTTTGACGCACTGTTCTGGGAATGTACCGACGCGGCTGAGCCGTGTGGCGCCGCTCGGGCCGTCGCCTGGCCTGGCGCCCTGCTGACGAGCGGCGGCGCTCTGTTACAGGCCGGCGGCGGCGGCGGACGGCGGCACTGAGCTCCAGCGGCCGCGGCGGTGAGTGCTGCGCCCGGGCCGGTGGTGTGTGCGCTCCGGTGCCCGGCAGACGTGATGATAATCACTCTTGATCAAACGGTTAGAATATATCGGAATCTAGTGACGATCCTAGGGCGGACTGACATTGTTTCAAGAGATGACGTTTCGAACGCTGCCAAATCCTTGTGATGACGGCCGTGATCCTTTGCAGGCAACCAGTTTGTGGCACCAGCATGTCCCAGTGCTACAAGATATTTAAAGGTGGGGCGAGGTGTTTCTTTTTTGTAGGTTAGCAATTTTGTAAACATATGAACTTCTCATGTCCCCATATCTACTTGCATTGAAGCAAATAGTGCAAAACTGATGATTTAGGCTGAATGCACTGGAGTTAATGATGTAGAACCAATGGTTTCGGCAGAACAGTCCTGTTGATTCACCGACAATGCTGCCTTCCTTCTGACTGCTGTTATCTATTTCGTGATTTCGACAGTCTCATATTTGTCACACTCAGTCTCCGGATTCTTCCCCACAGGCGGAAGCTGCGATGTAAGTGCTGACAAGAACGCATTCAGTCTGACGGCGCGTTCAAGGTGAGACACTGGAGGTGTTTGGAAAGGGCTGAGGGGTCATTAAGTTTTATATTCACACATGATGCATATCTAGAGCCAATCCAATGACCTCTGTGATTACCAATGATAGGACTGATCTCTGCTGCTGATTCTGCTGTATGTGGCGTATCCACAGCCAGTAACAGACGTCTCACTTCTCAGATGTGCAAAGTCGCACCAACGGACGGCACGGGCTCTCACTTGACCGGCGTAGATTCTGAACACAAAGGTGAGCCCTGCATGTAGCATCCGCATGACGCGTCTGGCATTGTTCTTCGGACACCGTTACTGACCGAAGCTAAACGGACTGGCAGGACGGTGTGCTATCTGAGTACATATGCATTAGGACAGAGTTGCCGGTCGGCACTGCTGAGCGTTCCATAAGTGACGCGCGTCCCCCCGTCGAAGATGAGCGGTGCTCGGCGTTGATTACCTGACCATGCTCTCGCTCTCCGATGATGGTGAAGGACAGATGATGTGTCCTGCAATTTTGACGCGCTGTTCTGGGAATGTACCGACGCGGCTGAGATGTGTGGCGCCGCTCGGGCCGTCGCCTGGCCTGGCGCCCTGCTGACGAGCGGCGGCGCCCCGTTACAGGCCGGCGGCGGACGGCGGCGCTGAGCTCCAGCGGCCGTGGCGGTGAGTGCTGCGCCCGGGCCGGTGGGATGTGTGCTCCGGTGCCCGGCAGGCGTGATGATAACCACTCTTGATCAAACGGTTAGAATATATCGGAATCTAGTGACGATCCTAGGGCGGACTGACATTGTTTCAAGAGATGACGTCTCGAACGCTGCCAGATCCTCGTGATGAAGGCCGTGATCCTTTGCAGGCAACCAGTTTGTGGCACCAGCGTGGCCCAGGACTACAATATATTTAAAGGTATGGCGAGCTGTTTCTTTTTTGTTGGTTAGCAATTTTGTAAACATGAATGTCCCTTGTCTTCATATCTACCTGCATTGAAGCAAATAGTGCAAAACTGATGATTTAGGCTGAATACCCTGGAGTAGATGATGTAGAACCGATGGTTTCGGCAGAACAATCTTGTTGATTCACCGACAGTGCTGCCTTCCTTCTGACTGCTGTTATCTATTTCGTGATTTCGACAGTCATATTTGTCACACTTAGTCTCCGGATTCTTCCCCACAGGCAGCAGCTGCGATGTAGGTGCTGACAAGAACGCATTCAGTCTGACGGCGCATTCAAGGTGCGACACTAGAGAAGGGCCGAGGGGTCATTAAGTTTTATATTCATACATGATGCATATCTAGAGCCAATCCAATGACCTCTGTGATTACCAATGATAGGACTGATTCCTGCTGCTGATTCTGCTGTGTGTGTGGCGTATCCACAGCCAGTAACAGACGTCTCGCTTCTCAGATGTGCAAAGTCGCACCAACGGACGGCACCAGCTCTCATTTGACCGGCGTGGATTCTGAACACAAAGGTGGGCCCTGCATGTAGCATGTGCATGAGACGTCCGGCATTGTTCTTCGTGCACCGTTACTGACCAAGGCTGAATGGACTGACAGGACAGTGTGCTATCTGAGTGCATATGCATTACTACCAAGGTCCTTGTGCCCTTTTGGAGGTCGTCTTTGACTGCTGCCAGCCTTAACAGCATCTTGTATTGTTACAGGCGTCCTGCCGACGGTGCCGGCTAATTCGTGCCGCCGAGACGAGGTGGGTTGCACGTGCTACCAGAATACGCACCACGTGGTTAGAGTGACCTGTTCCAGCTGACCTGATGATTGAATTGGTTATGAGTATGTGATTGCATCATTTCGCCCCTATCTGAGCGGCGCCGGTAGCCTGGCACCTGCGGTGGCCTGGCGACAGCCTGACGTGTGTCTGCCCTCTCCGCAGGCCTGGCGGGCGGGGCCGGTGACGGAGCGTCCGTCGGCCACTGCCCTCTCCGCAGGCCTGACGGGCGGAGCCGGTGACGGAGCGTCCGTCGGTCACTGCCCTCTCCGCAGGCCTGGCGGGCGGAGCCGGTGACTGGAGCGTCCGTCGGCCACGCCTCAGGTGAGTACCCAGGGGTCAGGTCAGCCGGAAGTCTCGCCGCCGCTCGCGTGATGTCTGTACATGTTAGACTGTTGACCCGCCGGGATGACACGTAACTCTCCGCTGATGGTGGTTGGACCGGACCGGGTGCGGTGTGGTCCCGTGCCGGTCGTGACGCGCGGCTGCCGTTTCAGGTGGTCACTGGTGGCCGAGCCGGTGCGGTCAGGGCGCGGCTGGTCCCGGGTACAGCTGCGGCCTGCCGGACACGGGTCAGTGGGGATCCGTTGTACTGCTATAGGGCCGAAGGGACTTGTTACTTGTCTTCCATCATGCAAATGAGGAAAATTTAAACGTGACCACTCATGATTTTTTCAAAAGGATTCTGATAGCTTCTGTGAAACATAGTTTGTTTTCATGGTAATGGGGTTGCTGACATACTGTCGTCTTTCAGTCCACGGTGCCCTCGTGACAACTGGGACGGAAACGTTCGCGAACATTCATCTTAGATGGTAAGAGTCACAACTTTTCCATTTCTGTGAACCAATGCTCATTGGGGCCCTGAAACATCTTGCCATGCTTCAGTAAATCTTGTGAAATGAGGAAAACTATATGAGTGATCGCCATGATCTTTTCAAAAGGATTCTGACAGGCACTGGAGAAGAAACACATCCTGGTTGTTTACTGATTAGTTTGTTAACCACTGTGATGATGTTTTCAGGTCCCACGTTTCTGCAGAAGGCTGTCTCATAGTGAAGGGCAAAAGATGGCGGGACATTCAAAAGATTGCCTGGTAAGCTAGCCTCCCAAGCTGTTCCATGACATTTGAAGTCAGATCATCACTTCTTTAAAGAAGTCTATTCATGTCCATTCAAATGATGCTTTTCCAGTCGATCCTTCACTAGCTCGTCGCCGGGCGTTGAATGATATCTACATGTACTCTCTGATACGGCGTTGGCTGGCCGAGGGGGCTGTCGTGGATCCGGTGCAAGACTGACTAGGGCGTCTGCTGCAGACGGACCGGGCTGGCCCTCCGGACCCGGCACTGTGCTGGCGTCACGCACCGAGGTGCCGACCGTCAGTGTCACCAGGTCAGTCGGCGGCAGTTTCGGCAGGTGTGCCACACGCTAGAACACTTCACACGTTACATTTTCAGGATACTGGTCTTGCCACGTGCAATGCAATCCGCCGTTTTCTAATTTCGAAGTCTTCCGATTGGGTATGGCTAGGCTGAACTAAAAAAGAAATAATCCTGCTAATTGCCTGTATGTTCTAGTCTTTAGAATGTAAATGGTGTGCTGCATATTCCTGCAGTTTTGCTTTGTCACACCAAAGTCGATCAGCATTGTGTTTCATGTTCCAGCATGAGTGATGATTCCAGCGAACGGGCGGACAGAGTTGCCGGTCGGCACTGCTGAGCGTTCCATAACTGACGCGTGTCCCTCCGTCGAAGATGAGCCGTGCTCGGCGTTCATTACCTGACCATGCTCTCTCCCTCTCCGCTGCAGGTTGTCAGCCCTCCATCTCCAGCTGGCGCGGGTCAACCCCGTCTCTGTGTGGTGCTGCTCTGAAGGTAGGTGGTGCGGTTTGTCGTGGCTGGTGTTGGTTTGGCGTCGCCCATGTGGAACAAGTGATGTTAACATACACCATCGACATGAATGCTGGGAACCTCAAGACGGGACTGATGCCGGCATTCTCGCTGTGCCGCATGTGCTCCCGAGGGCCGTAGTCTGACAACTGTCTGTCTGTTTAAGAGATACGGTGCGGTGGGGATCTCGGGCCACGCGGGCTCGGCTGAAGCGTGTTGAGTCGCGAGATCCGCAGTCAGACAAGGTGAGCTGGGAGTTTGGGTTACATTATTGCAGATGCGGATCACAGGCAGCGAATAGGCCGGTTTGGACGAAGTTCTGCTCTTGACAATGCTCGATGTGTGGATGCCGCTTGGCGGTGTGGCGCGGGTAACGTTAGCAGGGTGTTTTCGGGAACATGATGTTTTCCAGTCGATCCTTCACCAGCCGCCCAGGCGGCCGTGAGTGATAGCTTTTTAAACAGCTGAGATGTTCCTGGCATCCGCGGTTAGGTAACGAATGGCTAGTTACTGACGAAGGCTGCGCTTTCAGTGATTTGGTGTGAGGGCGGGCCGTACCTCTGCTGACTGGATGTGGAACTTCAGGAGCCAGTTGAATGGTAAGGTTTGTGTATTGGGCTTTGTGCTCATTGAATCCAGCGGCCGGGCACATTTGATGCCTGATAATCGTGAAAACTATAAATTCTCGTGAGACTCGTGGTCTAAATTGGCCATATCACCGCAAATCGCTTCTGATACCGTTACATAGGTAATCTACGAAATCACTTGAGTTTGCTAATAAAAGGTGAGTTAAGACAGTTATAAATTGCAGTTATTTCTTTGTCATAATGCACTTGTTTGTGTCATGCGCCTCATTCTTTTTCGCGGCCTTGGGGCGCATGGCCGGTGTCCCTTCTTGTGACGTGATGACAAGTGTCCTGCAATTTCGACCCCTGACTGGGAATACCTTGACGCGTCTGAACCGTGTTAGCGGCGCCAGCTGCTCCCCGCCGGCCGCTGGCTCGCTCTGAGGCCGGTTCCGCTCCTGGTATCCGCAGACTCGTCTTCCGACCGTCCAGTCGCACGGTTGCTGGCCATCCTGTCGTGCCGAGTCTGATGCCGCCCTGGACGGCTGGGTGTGCCAGGTAAGATATCACGGTCAGCCGGCAATGACACTTGGTGTGCTCCTAAAACGCTCGGTGCGTTGTGACCGCGACAGTGTGATGAGAACCTTGATCCATTTTCTGACTGTGCTGTCGGTGCGGGCGGCCGCCGCCCGGCCTCGCAGTGGCGGTGGCCTGGCCCATGTCGCCGGGTCAGGTTCTCTGGCCCGCTGACGGGGCCCGGCCGCCGCCGCCGCCCGCCCGACAACTGCAAGATTATGCTCTGGGGCTGACATCCGGTCCGCCTCCGATGTTGGACCTGCAGCACGGAGTGCCTCTGAGCACTGTGTTGTTTTGGCAGGATCAGCGGTGTGGTCGGCGCGCACCGCCTCAGTTTATGGGTCGCGCCACGGACTGGGTAGCTGTTGGGGTGCTGTGGAGCTGGGGCATTGGAGGTAAGTGACACGCGACGCTTCGGACCTCAGATGTGATGGCGTCCGCTCGCACTACTGTGATGATCAAGTATTTGCTATCTGAGTCTGTTGATTACGATACACTTACCACCAAGATCGCTGAGAAACTTGCCACTTTCGGTGTGGTATTACCACGGGACCAGATCACCATATGTTCTCCATTTGCAGGTGCTGGCCACAGTCTGCCCCGGTCTCAACCAAAGAGGTCAGTATACCAGAGCGCCGGCGGCGTGGTTGTTACGTCACCGCCAGAGATGATGATTGAATAATGGTTATGACATATTTGATTGCATCATTTCGCCCCTATCTGACTGCGCCGCCGCCCGACGGCGTGCGGGCACATCACTGTCAGTTGGTGACCTCTGTCGTGTGGTCCTCAGCGGAGAGGGCCGCGCCGCCCTGGGCCACCGCCTGGCGCGCGCTTCTGGGTCCTCTGTCGTCGCCGTCGCCCTCCGGACCAGGTCAGTCCCCGTCCACACACGCGAGCCCGGCCACTCGTCCTGCGCCGCGCACGTGATGTCTGTACATGTTAGACTGTTGACTTCTCGGATGAGACAAATCTTCAGCTGATGCCCCACCCGTTTACGGCTATGGCGGGCCGCTACTGCTGGGCCGCCGTCAGCTTACTGTCCCTGTCGTCAGGTGGCGGGAGGAGCGGTCCTGGGCCGGCGCCGTCCTGTCCTTACAGCTTCGCTGGTGAACCAGGTGAGGCGTCCGGCCCTCTGCCGCGACCGGTCCCCCGCCCATCACATGAGGAAAATACCGATATTGACACAGAATGATTCTTTCAAAAGGATTCTGAGAACGCCTGGTGTACAGCTGGGCCGCTGCTCCGCCCGGTGCATGGATTAACGTTCGGTGTCTGCGTTCCCGGCTGTAGCAGGCTGGTGCCGCCCCCGAGCTAGCGGGAGGCGCCTGGCTGGCAGCCGGCCCGGGAGAGGCGGCCACTGCTCCACTCAGCGCCCCGTCGGCAGACCCGGTGCCGGGGGGCGAGCGTGGGCCGGCGGCTGTCGTCTGCCCGGTCGATCCTCCGCCAGGCGAACGTGAGTGGTAGCTAGGTCACTCAGCTGATGCACTGCTCTCCCTGCTCTCCCATCTGCGTTGCTGCGCTCTGCTTATTAGCCGTTGACATATTACGGTCCCCTTCGAAGAGCGAATATGCTGTCCGGTCTGGTAGCCGTTTGTTAAACTAGTTGAGCTGTGTGGACTTTTGCGCCTGGCCGTAATTGCAGTACTAAAGGAATACACTTCGTGATGATACTAAGCGAACGGGCGGACATAAACGCCGACAGGCTTTGCTGACTGTTCCTATGCTGATCTATGCCTGGTTAGCTGCCAGATAATTAGCCACTAAGTGTATTCTGACCCATCAGTGCTGTTTTCCAGGCTGCCTTTGGGAATTCGCCAGAAAGTAAACCCTCGATGGTCTTAACTGCGAAAAAACGAAGAGGTATGTATCGGACCAACATATCACCCTCCACCTGACTGTGACCGCGACAGTGTGATGAGAACCTTGATCCATTTTCTGATTGTGCTGTCGGTGCGGGCGGCCGCCGCCCGGCCTCGCAGTGGCGGTGGCCTGGCCCATGTCGCCGGGTCAGGTTCTCTGGCCCGCTGACGGGGCCCGGCCGCCGCCGCCGCCCGCCCGACAACTGCGGGATTATGCTCTGGGGCTGACTACCGATAATGTTCGCTGGTGGACTGTTCAAGCAGCATAGGGCCTAATGGCGTTTTGTTTCTGTTACAGTCTGGCATGACAATGCAGCTGTGAAATAATTCCTGACCGGAGGATGTGATGGCCCTTGACGTCGAGGAGGTGAGTGCTGTGCGGCCGCGACACCACACATCTGTGGCACATCCTGGTGCGCCTACTCTCCTGTCTCGTGATGATTGAATCGGTTATGACAGCGCGTGATTGCATTATTTCGCCCCTATCTGAGTCTGGTTGCCAGCTGGCCCCGGCGCCACCCTCCCGGGCGCGCTCGCCTGACTCCGGCTCCCTGCGCCGCCAGGCAGCTCCTGAGCAGCGGCGGCACGGTTTCCGGTCGCCGGCCGACCGCCCCGCCCCCGCGCTGCCGGTGTTGCTCGGGGTAAGGAGAGGCGCATTGGCTGCCGCGAAGGAGATGGGGAACGTCGAAATGCTAGCGGTGGTCCCGGAACACGTCATGCCAGTCCGTCTGCCGCGAGGGTGCCCGCGTTGGTGATGAAAGTTACACGTACTCACTGCTGATTCCCGTGATTATCTGGATTCACGCCTGATAGCGCGCGTTGCCTGGCGGCGTTGCGCTGGCTGGCTCCGGGACTGACGAGCCGTGTGGTGTCTCGTCCGCCAGGGGGTCCGGCATCTTGGCTGCGTGGGTGGCGTACCACCCGCAGTCAACTGGACGCGGACGGCATGCCTGGTGAGAACCGGCCAGTGTTTTGCGTGGGAAGGCGTTTTGTTGTGTTTGTAAGGTTTCGTCCGTGCGTTTCCGTTCGGTGTGCGCGATAGTTTCATGCCACGGAGCAATTCTCTAGTGGTATAACTAGCTCACCTCGCTTTATGGGCAGGTTTTTGTGAGACATTTTGCCCCATCTCACTTGCATCATTGGACACGAGAAGTGATGAAGCCTATCAATCCTGTACTACCGTGACAGTATCAAGCTCAACAGGTCTGAAACACGACTCGGACGTCTATTTTAACTTTGTCGCTGGCCTGGTTGGTGACTTGTGGCCTGCTTGCAGTGCTGGCTGCCTGCACTGCCAGAGACCCTGGTGACTGGGTTGGACAGTGACCAGGTGAGCTCAGCTTTTGTGCATATTGCTTCACTGACTTCAGTTCAGCTGCAAGATTGTGTCGTTTCGGGCGGTCCATGTGTAATTGTAACTCAAACCTTTGACAACTGGAAGTCGCATATTTGTATTGCGTCACTTGGTTGGTTGGTCTCGTCGAACGTTATGAATTATCACGTTGCCCCATGATTATCCCTGATCTCTCCTCCCCTCCCTCCTTCCATTTCCGTCGCGCAATACTTTCGTTTTCGTGATGAAACCCAAGCGTACTCACAGATGAGCCCGTGATTATCTGGATTCACGCCTGAGCTCCTGCCGGCTCACGGCAGCACGTTCGTCTCGGCCATGCTCACAGCCGCGTGGTTTTCTCCGTGTTTTCAGGTCGAGCTCCTGGCCGAGCTGGGCAGCGGCCTCTGCAGCGTCTGCTACCGTCTACAGCGCTACTACCATGGTAAGAATACGGGACGTGTGGTGCGGTCCATGCTGTCCGATCCTTCTGAAACCGATGTTTGGCATAGTCATCCCAGGTGGATGGTATGCCGTCCTGTGTTTGCCTCTGATGTAACCGACGCAGGTCCTTCCTCTGCGCCACCTGTACAGTATTCAGCTGAGCAGACCCGAATCGGGGCGCGGTGTTGCGGGGCCGCCTCTGACCGAGTCGCTCCGTCTCCACAGGTCCGTCCGCTGGCGTGTCGCAGCCGAGGGACGGCGCTCGCCGAGTCCAGGTGAGGCCTAGCAGACTGCCGGCGGCCTGGCCTCCGGTGGCATGGACGGGGGCCACAGCAGCGGGCTCGTCCAGCGCGTTAGGTCATAGACTGCAACTTCGCGGCTACGCCAGGCGGCCACGTGGAAGTTGATAGTGTTGGACGCTTGGCCGTGAATATCGTGTGCGCGCCACCCTTGCGGTTCTCTGGTATGATGAACACACACCTCTCTGTACTACCGTGACAGTATCAAGCTCAACAGGTCTGATGCGACGTCTTAAAGCTCCGTCGACAGATAATTTTCGAGCGACCTTCTCACGCAGATCGTCTCCCATGCTCCAGGTGCTGGGAGCTGGGCGCCCAAGGCTGGCTGCGGCAGCAGCGACCTTCCCGCGGCTCGAGTCATCGCGATGTGGAGTCCGGCAGCATCTGGGAGTCGAGGACACCCGCGTTGCGTTTGGCGTAATAGGTCGGCCGTGCGGATGGCCGTGATAGTTCTAACGGTTTACGGGTGGGATCGGAAGCATCCGATCTGTATCGATCCGTGGAGTGGTCGGCGTGTCGGCGTCAGCGCCGCCTGCTGTGGTCCCCGTGGCCCGTGGTGCACAGCGCGTGGTTGGTGTGCACCTTATTCCACGTTGTCCTAAATAAAGCAGATGCGTATTTCCTTGTTTACGGGAGGAGGGCGGAGGGAGGCTCTCTCTCTCCCCCTCTCGCCGTCCGGATGGCAGGCCGAGGGCTCCGGACTGAATGGCTCAGCCAGGATCAGCATCCAGCACAGGGTCCTGACATTGGAACAGTCCGATTGGGGCTGTAAGTGTATAAGCTGTAAGTGTATGTTTGAATTTCGTAGCATTGGGGGAAAGCTAAGGCAAGTTTTAAGGCTCCGCGTGCTCATTACGTTACAACACGGGTCCAACAATGAAGGCGCGGCAAATAACGTACTCGTATTTGGAAAAAACCGAACGGTCCTTATGAACAGCACCTATGCGACGCCGCGAGCGCTTGAGCGCCGCAGTCGAACCTGCAAGGGTCGCCCGACACGGGATATATTCTGACAAGGCGCCCGTGGCATATACAGTAGCGCCACCGTCCTGAGCGAGTGTTTGCGCTGGGTGCCAAGCCACGCCGACACCTCGGGTAATCACCTAGCGGATACTGTAACAAAGCTTGAGGTGCAGGGCTGTCAGCATGTATCGGGGACTCGGACGGCCTCCGCGACAGATCACCACTGCGTCATCCCCGGCGTCGTACAAGGCAAGGCGTTTTCCGAGCTTTCAAGGTGGAGCTCAGCGACTTGAGATCGGCAGCCAAAATGGACGCGCACTGATGCTTCGTGTACGAACGTGGCAGCACGACCGATAAGGAGACAGGATCCTAAGTCGCTTCCGGATTTGTCGCATGCGGCGCCGCATGGTTACAGCTAGGGAAATTTCCTTGTTTACGGGAAATCAGTTAAGACCTGTGGACCTGATATAGACCTATATCCGGGGAAAATTCACGTCTCCGAATGTCAATTCCTTTCATTTGTATTTTCACAAATCCAAGCTACCTTCCAGAAAAGGTGACGTCGCTATCGGGAGGTTCTTGTTCCGTTTTGACACGGCGCCGACGCTTTGCCGCGCGCTCGTCTCCCGCCGCGGGCTCAGGCTTGAGCGTATGGGGTATGCCGGCCCGGAAGGCTCTGATTCACTGAGCCCGGTCTCGCCATGCATCAAGCGTGTCACCAGATTGCTTCGCATTGTCAGATTTCCTCCATGTTGTTTTAATGCGAATTGTTGTTTTCGTTTCGTGTTTGGTGTGGAAAATCCACTATGTGGTGCGCATCTTGGTGTGGGTGAGCGGACGCTCGTGTGCTCAGGTCCCCTTCGTAGAAATTACTATGAATGCGTACTTTTCCAACCGCAATATGCACACATCAAACAGCATCTTGTTTTCCGGGCCCTACCATGCTTTAGCCGTACGAAAGTAATCACATTCCGTTCGGTGGACGTTCCATTTTAGTAACAAGCTATCACACATAATTTTTGTAAACGCCCAAAATAGCGTAATATCGCGGCATGACCAAGGCCCGTGACACATGTCCCAAGTCGAAGTTTACTACGCATAAGAGATGTAAACGCGTGCTAAAACATCTTGTGCTGTATTTCCTCACATCACATCTTCAACGAAGACAATAATAGTCACAGTAGGCTAACATAAGGACACTGAATCAACGCGATACGGCTGACGCAATTTGAGAATAAAATCTGCGCACGTGGCTAAAATGAAGGCTTTGGTTTGTGGCGAGCTGGGTGCGCGCGCGCGCGCGTGGCGGCGTCTCTACGGCTCGGGCGGTGGCCGAGTGCCAGCACTGGCCGCCCTCACGTAGTTCACGTAATGATGGAAGAGATCGCTGAAGTCGGCCCACTGGCGAACGACGAAGACAATTACCACAATGAGAAGCAACGTCGACAGCGTTCTCACCCTGAAACGAGAACGGCCGCGCGGTCAGACGCGATCGTCGCAGACCACACCCGACGAGAACTCGGCGAGCGGCTTACTCAGCCTCGAGCGTGGACAGCGATAGCGGCCGCTCAGAGCAGGAGAGGCGAGCCACCGGCCGAGGCGTCCCCACGCCAGCCGGGAGACAAGCGAGCTCGCGCTGCCGAGGCAACCCGCGGAAGGCCAGGCCGGGGATGGGCAGTGCGGACGGCGGAAGCCGACCACATGCCACTCAGCGGTGTGCCGCTGGTTTCTCCGGAATCTTGATACACATGGCGGTGCCGCTGCACTGGCGCGACAGCAGGCAACAACGGTACCCGGCACTCGCCAGTCCAGAACACTACAACAGCCGACCATCCAGTCCTCGGCGCGCGCGTCTGACCGGCGGCCCACCACCGCTCACCTGGTGCGAAGGAACGGCATGGTGATGTTGGCCAGCGTGGCCACGATCAGCAGCACCACCTGTAGCACGGTCAGCACGAATGTTGACCAGCTTGACGACCAAAGCACGCGCCTGCGAGTTGCCGATCACCTCCAAGTTGACCAGCTGCTGGTGCTCCACCTGCTGGTGCTCCATCCGCGATATCTGCGCAGTGGAGGAGCGTATCAGAGTTTGACGGCGTGCGGCACTGACAAGCGCGGCTGAGACGGCCGGCAGCTGTCCAGGGCAGAGGCTGCCCGGCGGTGTGACGGTGCCGCCCTGACCAGCCGCGGTCCAGCCACGGCACCGGCTGACAGATCCGCCGCTGGTCCCAGGCAGCTCCGAGGCAGAGGCTGCCCGGCGGTGTGCCAGGGCCCCCATGACCAGCCGTGGTCCAGCCACGGCACCGGCTGACAGATCCACCGCTGGTCCCACGACCGTGGCCTGACGGGCGGTGACGGACCGCGACGGACTCTCATGAGGCCCTGCGCTATGAGCCGGGACGCGACCACTCACCCGAGTATTACACTTGTCCATCATCTCGTGAATGTCTCTGACGCGCTCCTCGCTCTGGTACTGGACCTTCTCTTCCATGTCATGCATGTGCTGGCGCAGATTCTCCACCTGGGCGCACGGACGGTGCGGTACGGTTAGTTACACATCCCAGCTACACAGGGATCCCCAGCGCCAACAGATATCCCACCGACAGCAATGTACTTAACCGACGTAGTGCAACTACGCCACATGCATCTCAACAGACCCAAGCGATCATCCACAGAGCACACCATGGTGATCACTGACTGGATCTCGATCGTCGAAAGCGCTCTACTAGCTCCTCCCACGCTTCGCACAGCACGACTTCCCATCGCGCCGTTGACGGGCGCTCCCGATCGCATCGGACGGCCGCGTCACCTCGTTCTGGTGCAGCTCGATGAAGTCGTTCATCTGCTGCTCGAGCCGGTCGTAGCGGAAGCGCTCCTCCTGAAGCGCCTGCGAGAGCAGCGTGATCTCCTGCTGCAGCGTCGCCTTGATCGTGTCCACGTCGTCGCGCAGCCGGTCGCACTCCTCCTTGCGCTCGAGCAGCTCAGAGAGGAGGAGCGCGCCGTCGGTGGTGGCGGCAGCGCCGGCCGACGACACGCTGGCCTGGTGCCGCGGAGAGGTGGTGGCCAGGGCACCGGGCTCGCTCGCCGCGCTGCTCAGGTCGCTCCCCTCGTCAGAGCGCAGCTGACCTGCCGGTGGGGCGGGGGCTCAGTGGCGCCACCCGGGAGGGGGGACAATCCCGACCTGAAGGTCTCACAAACGAGACCGCGCGATGGAGACGGGACACCGAGGACGACCCAGCAGGCATCGGGTTGTCATTCACAGAGCAGGCCTGACCGGTCCGGATGACGTGACCGCGAGAGAAAACCTGACTACGCCGTCGGTGGGAGACAAGACCGGCCGCCGGTCTTCACTGAGAAGCGACGCCGACGGCCGGTGCAGCGACGCCGGCGACTCACCGACGCTGGTGTTGCCGCTGACGGCTGACGAGGGGATGCCCGGCGGCAGGGTGGAGCTGCCGTGGTGGCTGCGCGTGGGTGTGCCCTCCGACGAGTCGTCTGTGGAGGGTGGCGACCCCGCGTCAGCGGCCGCTGCAACGCCAGGCAGGCTAGCGCCGCACACTGTCGCACATCACTGACAGTGGGCTGACAATGAGCGGCGATAGGACAGTCAACTTCATCCAAAACACCGCCCGTCGCTTATGATTACCAGCAAACGTTGGAGAAGGCCTGCTTGGTCGATTAGTATTCCAACGGAACACGTTCAAGTGCGGAAAATACTGAATTATATTATTTTTATATACTTACACACCCCCACACCTGAGTATTATTAGATACTTCACACCCTGCAAAAAATCATGGTCAAAGGAAGGATGTCTCATGTTGCCATGGCTAGCGGCTGCACCGAGTTGTCACTAGTGATTCCCGTTGAACCCGCTGCGTTCACTCACTAGTGAGGGCCGTGATGTTGTCGGCACTGCCGAACCTGTTCTTCAGCAGGTGAGCAATTTCGCGAGGCTTGGACATCACCGTCCTGAGGGGCGCAGATGGGGCCAGCAGGTCAGACGACACCAAGTCCAGGTCATCGAAGCACACCACCGCACGGCGTCACTGACGCGAAATGTACACCGCCGTAGGCGGTGACCGCACCAACCAACGCTCCGCGCGCAGAGACAACACGCGAAATCCAGCGCCGACAGTGTGCAAACAGCAGCGAGTAAACTACCGCTTCTCTAGCTGAGGTTTACATAAGTGCACTGACAATACACAGAGCGCCGGGCGGCCGCGTCGCTTCTCACACACCCCGGCGGGCACGGCACAGCACACACAAACACCGCCGCGCTCCTCTGAGCCGCCTCCGCCGACCAGGTGTGCGGCACGACGGCCCACGCCCCGCCCCGTCCCTCGCGGCGGTGCCGGCACATGCGCGGCCGGGCGGCGCTCGGTGGCGGCGGCGGCGGCGACCGGCTGGGGGTGCGCCGGCGGACGTGCCGGCGCACAATAGCGCGCCGGCGTGTCGGGCGGACGCGCCGGCGACCGACACACACGTGCCCACAGGCCGACAGGGGTACCGACCCAGGGGTGACGCCGAGGTAATCGACTCTCGCACGTGCAGTCGTGGCGGCACGGCGCCCAGATGGGGATATTTCACATCGGAGCACGTGCCACATGTGTAACGCAACAGCGCAGCGTGGTAACCACAGACGGGACGCTTCAACTGATTCGTGGCGTATCCGACACAAATATCATAGATTCAGACTTTCAGACGAGTATGCTCCTGGCACACTCGAAAGTCACGCACGAGAGCCTTGACAGAATTTTGAAGTGTTTCTAGATGGAAACGCCACGTGAGACAATGGCAAGCGTTTGTTTGTTGTCAACCATCCCAACAACGGCACGGGATGGCGGTGCACGAGGCGCTTGCTGGGCACTCGCCGGCACCACATATGTGCAGCTGATCAACACAGGTGAACACCAGCTGACCCTGACTGGGACCCGGACTGGGACTGGGACCGGGACTGGGACCGGGACGGGGACTGGAACTGGGACTGGGACTGGGACTGGGACTGGGACTGGGACTGGGACTGGGATCGGGTCTGGGACTGTGACTGTGACTGTGACTGTGACTGTGACTGTGACTGTGACTGTGACTGTGGCTGGGGCTGGGGCTGAGGCTGGGACTCGGACGTCACCGTTATCACCGTCACCACCCGGACACACCAGCTGGCATCGGCACTTACTCCGCCGCTCCCTGGATACCGCCCTTCATGTTGCCCACCACGGCCCTGCAGGACCAGACAGGACGCTTAGAACACAGGTGACCACCGCCCGGGCGCGGTCAGCGCGGTGATGTACGGTCCCGCGCGGTGCGCGTCCGCCTGCACCCCGGTGCCTCCGGCGCCACTGGTGCCAGCGCTGGCATACGGCTAGCGAACTGAACGTGAAAGCTGAATGGATGCTAAGCACTGGCACATGGCTTGTCTATCTTCCACACACGCGCAGAGCGTAGCTAGCAACGGCTTCAGCGTCACCACATCAGCGCGAGAACAGACATCTAAATACATCGCAACAACTCGACAACAGAGCAGCGCGGACTGTGCGAGCCAGTGTCACCGCTTCCTGTCGGGCAGAATATGTGGCCCATTGCTCCATTGGACCGCCAACATGAAGAGGCACTCCCGGCCACGCACGCAAGAGAAAATTACATGAAATCTAAATGAGAGCCGTCAGGGGGGGCGGGAGCGAGAGCCTACAAAGGGAGCGGAAGCAAGAGCCAATAAAGCGAGCGGGAGCGAGGGCCACAGAGGGAGCGAGCTAAATACGAGCGTTAAAGCTACAAAAGTCAACTGGTTGTCGCCAGGGGTGTCCGCCGGCCCACGGGAAGGACGAACGACAGCCGCATACGTACCCGGAAAGGCCGGTGATGCCGTGCCGAATGTTTCCGCCCACGTTCCTGGAACAGAGCGCCACTCTCAGCACCGGCGGCCAGACAAGCAACCGCACGTCTGCCGGCGCCCACCGCGCCAGCCGCTCCACACCCACGGAGCACGGCCGACGGTCGCTCACAGCGCCGCGCGGTCCTCTCGCGCGTCACGCAGCGGCGTTCCACACCCCACACCGCAGCCGGCGGCGATCTCGGCGGAGCGCCGGCCGCGGCCCGACTACCGGCTATGCCCTGCAGCCGGAACCGGTGCCGGACGCCGGCCGCGCCATGCGCCGACGTCATCCGGTCAACACGGTCCGGCCGGACGGAGACGAACCCCGCCCCCTCCCGCCGCCGGCCCGTCACGATCCGCCCGTCAGAGGAGTGGCGGCGGCCAGGGCACGACCGCGGAGGGCAGGGCACGCTCCACCGTCAGGGGGGGGGGGGGGAGAGGGGGTGGCGGCGGCCAGGGCACGGCCGCGGCGGGCAGGGCACGCTCCGCCCGTCAGAGGGGTGGCGGTGGGCAGGGCCGACCGCGGCGGGCAGGGCACGCTGCGCCCCTTACAGGGGCGACGGCGGTCATGGCCCATCATGGCGGGCAGGGCACGCTCCGCCCGTCAGAAGGGCGACGACGGGCAGGGCACAACCGTCAACGGCCAACGGAAGGCGGGAGTGGTCAGTAGCGCAGACGCGAGGACGGCCACACGACTGACCAGGAGAGACGACGCCGAGTATTTTCAATGGAAGCCTGAGAGGCTGCGACGCTACCAGGCTGACCAATCGCAAACTACCGAATCGACATTGGCTCGGTCGCATTTCGGTTGCATTGTTGAAGCGAACACCATCATCTGGCGCATGAAACGAACTTGTGCTGGCTGTGGAGCGGTCGCATCAGAGTCGGGCGTTTAAGAGCTCCACTACTGAGCCATTTACCCCGCCGTCCCAAGCAACGCGGGTTGACCTGGGCACAGCGGGCAATCTCTCCAACCTCAGCACCACGTTCACAACAACACTCGCTCTCCTCCCGACAGACCGAGCCCGCCAAAGTCTACAACTTCAGCTCCCACCTGTCCCCGACCTGACCGTCCCTCCCACGCGCGACCTGTCAGTCTGCTGTGCTGGCGGGCCGGTCTGCAGCGACCCTCCTCCAGCCCGGCGACAGGACTGACCTGAGTCCGTAACCCACGTCCTTGAGCACTTCCTTGGGCTGACGGTGCGAGAGGCCGCACGTCTCCAGCTCCTTGGCGCGTCGCGTGTACACTTCCAGCTTGCGCTGCTGGTGCGCCATCTGCTGCGCCGCCTTCTGGTTCTTCTTCTCGAAAAGGGCCTTCAGCTTCTGCTGCTGCTGCTTGTCCTGCACGGCTGCCGTCTGGATCAGGTACTCGTTCACGTTGTCTGCGGGTGAGGCACAGCGACAGACAATTAGCGGTGCTCGCGCCCGAGATCGACGATCGAAATCAACGGCGAACGGAGCGGCTCGACAGCGTCTTCGCGAGTGCAGCCGACGAACGCCCGTCGGTCAGTTCATTGAGTTGCGCTCGTCGTTGCAGTTTCCGCTCAACTCTGAGCAATGCGATCGATGCAGTTAACGGAAACACGGCTGAACCATGCCGTGGCGTGGGGTCACGACGAGCGCCGGGCCTCAGGCAGATTGCGAGTCTACGAAACCCGAGCCACCAGACCACAGGGGTCATATCTGGGCGGGTACATCGCCGTTATCGCAGTCATCTCGTAAGAAGATTTGCCAGATACATTAAACGGCAACAAGTTGCAGTTCAGTTTGCAATCTTTGAGACATTGCAACACTGCTTTTCGTTCCGCAGGGTGAAATGCAAGACGACTGCGCCAACCCAAGATGAAAGCCAGTCACGCCCCTTGGCACTAGCTCAACGCTACTCACAACACTGCCATACAATATCTGTATTACTCTAGGCATTGTGTTCCAGGCAAGTGTACCCCATGCGCGGTCAAGACAACACACAGAGCACTGGCTCAGCGCGGCTGGCTGCCGCCGGGGTCTGCCTACCGTCCCTGACAACACACAGAACACTGCGTCAACGCGGCTGGCTGCCGCCGGGGTCTGCCTACCGTCCCTGACAACACACAGAGTACTCCAACGACGCGGCTGGCTGCCGCCGGGGTCTGCCTACCGTCCCCGACAACACACAGAACACTGCGTCAACGCGGCTGGCTGCCGCCGGGGTCTGCCTACCGTCCCTGACAACACACAGAGTACTGCAACAACGCGGCTGGCTGCCGCCGGGGTCTGCCTACCGTCCCTGACAACACATAGAGCACTGCATCAACGCGGCTGGCTGCCGCCGGGGTCTGCCTACCGTCCCTGACAACACACAGAGTACTGCAACAACGCGGGGCTGCCGCCGGGGTCTGCCTACCGTCCCTGACAACACATAGAGTACTGCAACAACGCGGCTGGCTGCCGCCGGGGTCTGCCTACCGTCCCTGACAACACACAGAGTACTGCAACAACGCGGCTGGCTGCCGCCGGGGTCTGCCTACCGTCCCTGACAACACATAGAGTACTGCAACAACGCGGCTGGCTGCCGCCGGGGTCTGCCTACCGTCCCTGACAACACATAGAGTACTGCAACACGCGGCTGGCTGCCGCGGGGTCTGCCTACCGTCCCTGACAACACACAGAGTACTGCAACAACGCGGCTGGCTGCCGCGGGGTCTGCCTACCGTCCCCGACAACACACAGAACACTGCGTCAACGCGGCTGGCTGCCGCCGGGTTCTGCCTACCGTCCCTGACAACACACAGAGTACGCAACAACGCGGCTGGCTGCCGCCGGGGTCTGCCTACCGTCCCTGACAACACATAGAGTACTGCAACAACGCGGCTGGCGCCGCCGGGGTCTGCCTACCGTCCCTGACAACACACAGAGTACTGCAACAACGCGGCTGGCTGCGCCGGGGTCTGCCTACCGTCCCTGACAACACACAGAGTACTGCAACAACGCGGCTGGCTGCCGCCGGGGTCTGCCTACCGTCCCTGACAACACATAGAGCACTGCATCAGCGCGGCTGGCTGCCGCCGGGGTCTGCCTACCGTCCCGACAACACAAAGAACACTGCGTCAACGCGGCTGGCTGCCGCCGGGTTCTGCCTACCGTCCCTGACAACACACAGAGTACTGCAACAACGCGGCTGGCTGCCGCCGGGGTCTGCCTACCGTCCCTGACAACACATAGAGTACTGCAACAACGCGGCTGGCTGCCGCCGGGGTCTGCCTACCGTCCCTGACAACACAGAGTACTGCAACAACGCGGCTGGCTGCCGCCGGGTCTGCCTACCGTCCCTGACAACACATAGAGTACTGCAACAACGCGGCTGGCTGCCGCCAGGGTCTGCCTACCGTCCCTGACAACACACAGAACACTGCGTCAACGCGGCTGGCTGCCGCCAGGGTCTGCCTACCGTCCCTGACAACACACAGAGTACTGCAACAACGCGGCTGGCTGCCGCCGGGGTCTGCCTACCGTCCCTGACAACACATAGAGCACTGCATCAGCGCGGCTGGCTGCCGCCGGGGTCTGCCTACCGTCCCTGACTCGCTGCTGCTGCTTGATGGCCTCCTTGCAGCGGGCTATCTTGGACTGCACCGTCTCCGTGGCCTCCCGCATGCGCGCCTCGTCCGGCCGCTCGTGGTGGTCCGGCTCGTCCGCGTCGGCGGCCGCTCCCACCAGTGGCGTAGTCTGCAGCGCAGTCAGGTCAGGTCAGGTCAGGTCAGGTCAGGTCACGATGGCCGTCCGGTTTGGTCATGTCGGTCTTGGTCAGTAGGTAGGGTTTACCCACCGCTCCGACATATTTGGCCCAGCTCGGCCGACCTGTTTTGCAGGGAGGCGGGGGTACACAAGTAGCACCAGGCCACGGACATAGGTCTCGGAGAACACGGCGCCCAGTAACCCACCAGGTCGGTGAGTTCATAGCGAGTCAATGGATCGCATGATACGGCCACCGAGGCACGGAGATAGCTGTCGCGCCGGGCTGACTTCCGGCCAGTCAGCTTCGCTATCAGTCAGCCTCGGGGTCCGGCCGCCTTGGCGCTGAGCCGACCGCGGCGCGGCCGTGCGGCGCGGCACCCGGCCGGATCGGCGCGCGGCACCCGGCCGGATCGGCGCGACACCCGGCCGGATCGGAGCGGCACACCCGGCCGGATCGGCGGCGGCACCCGGCCGGATCGGCGCGGCACCCGGCCGGATCGGCGCGGCACCCGGCCGGTCGGAGCGGCACCCGGCCGGTCGGAGCGCGGCCGGAGCTGTCCGCCGCGGCGCCGCCACTCACCGACTCGTCGTCATCGGTGCCGCCGTACGGTTCGTCGCCAGAGTCGCCGCGCTGTCGGGCGGGCGTGACGTCCGACTCGGCGCGGCCGCGCCACCCGGCCGGGCCGGCGGCGGCGCCGCGCGGCGAGCGGCGCCGCCGCGGCCGCGCCGGCGTGCTCGCCGAAGCCCCGGACGCCGCCGACTCGGAGCCCCATTTGCTGTCGGCGGGGCGAGCCAGCGGTGAGCGGGGCAGCGCTGGGGGGTCGCCGACAGAGGGGGGGGGGGGGGGGCTGGGGAGCAGTGTTTCGCTCAAGTAGATACTCATGAGGCAGGTGGGTCATACAGAGAGCTTTAAGGTGCAATTCACATTCAGTTCGCTACGTCCACCAATTTAGCAGCCCGCATCGTGTCCCCCTTCAGCACGCATTTAAAGGGTAATACACGTAAAATAACCAGCAGAGAATCAAAGTGAGTAAAACAGGTGAACTACGGCATCTGCGACAAAAAGCAGGAAGAGAAATGGCTAGAGCGATCTACGAGACATATAGATACTATTGGCGGTTGTTAATTATCTAAAAGCGCATCCAGTGGCTGAATTAACGCCATGATCCAATGGGCTGGCGATACAGCTGGCAACAAAACTAACAAACGAGTGGTGAAATCCAGAAAACCAGCCATTGCCCGTCCACCAAACGGCTCAGAGTCGGCTTCTAAGAAGGCTGCGCCGCCTCCGTCGGCAGACCGCCGCGCCGTTATCGGCACGCGCAGCGCGCTGCGTGCGCTCCGGGCTTCCGGAGCCGCCAGCGGCGCGTTATCTGGCTCACCGGGTGCGCCTCGGCGCGGCGACGCACCTGCGAGGGGGCAGCGGGGGGGGGAGGGAGGGGGGAGCTACGGCCGGGCGGTCCGGCGAGATCGGCGTCACGCCAGCCGAGCGGCGCTCACACACGCCAGGTGCCAGTGACTGTGAGAGGTGAGAGCGTGGGCGAGCACGGGCACGTGGTGCCTAAGGCAGGGTGCTGCGGTCCAACAGACGTGCTCACTCGGTGCCGGCGAGCGGCGGCGCAAACTCAGACCAGCGGGCTTTGTGACGCGGTGAGGGGCGAGGCTAGGCGGGGCGGGCGAGGCGAGGCGCGCCGCGCCGTGCCGTCGGCGGACGGCGCACCAAAAACGAGGTGAGCGTCGGCGGACGGGACGCGTGGCGGCGCCGGCCGGCCGGCCCGTGATCGATGCTGCGTGACGGGACGCCGGCGCCCGACAGGCGACCCACGGCGGCTCGGCGGCGATGCGGACGGCAGGCCGGGCGCGTGCAAAACCAAACAGAGGAGAGGCGGGGTGGCCGCCCAGCTGCCGGCGGCGGGCGGCTAACGACGCTAGGGCTACCGCTCACACACACACACAAGGCCAGGGCGTACCTTTTGAACAAGGGCAAACTACGCTGTCGGTTCATGTCTGACGGGAGACTAGCATAACTGGCAGCGTCCGAGCAGGACTGTAAGAGGGCGCACAGTTGTCACAGGCTGGGCGCCGCGCGCGGCGGCACTGCCGCACCGCCACCAGCGAGGGCCATACGATGCACCCGCCACCCCGTGCAGCGAGCGACACCGCGGCAGCACGCCCCTCACCGACACCAATGGCATCACCCAGGCCCCTTCTCCGCCCACTCCGTTTATGGCGAGCGTTTAATTATTTTGTGGTGCTGCACAAAAAGCGAGTTTTCGATGCAAAGCGTGGCGGCCAATCCGGCTAATCGCGTGATCCGCACGACAACCCTGGCACGGAGCCGTCAGTCATGATTTGTCCGCGTGTGCGATGAGAGCAGCCGCCCACGCTGCATTACACCGCAGAATTCACTCGCGCCTGACCACGCCAGGTATGAGCTTCCAAGAAATGGGATTAGTCATCGACGCCGCAAAGCCGGCGGTCGCACCTAGGCACCAAAAAGCCCGGAATGCCCTGCGCGCGGGACACCAGCTGATTCGGCACACATGGCAGGTCTGCCACCCCACCACAGGTGGCAGGCCCCGCTAGGTCGGCCGCGCACGGCGCACAGGTGTGGCCGTTCTCCCTGGGCGCGGCTGACGTCACCGCGCCAGACGTCAGCCGCGAGGACTGTGTCCGGCGCGGGGGATGCCGCCCCGCTCCAGCGCTCCCGTACGCCGGCCGGCGCGGGGGATGCCGCCCCGCTCCAGCGCTCCCGTGCGTCAGACGCTGTCCGTCCCGCGAAGGGTCCCCGCTGTCCGCAGCCGTGTCCAGTTATGATCCGACACCGAGCCTCCGCTCGCCGGCGTGTGTTCTGTCCAGTGCGGTGTCCGCTGGTACCAGCATAGGGTGCAAGGCACCCCGCGCTCTCGGCCTGGATCCATGACGGGGTGGCTTTGTCGTGTCTGGTGTCTGCGCTCTCTGCCCGTTGTCGGCACACCAATCTGCGTGTGGAGCCCGCCGGGACCCCAGCCGTGGTGGCGCGGTCCCCACTGGCGGCGGCCGCCCGGCCCGCTCGCCGCCGTCGGCTCCCCCAGCCGGCGCCACCTGCCCTCATCGTGCACGGACGCTCGCAGAACGTGCCTGGCCACCGTACAGGGTGGGGAGCGCAGCCCTCGACGCTCGACAACTGCACAGACACACGCACGAGTACAGGGAGGTCGACAACAACGGTCCGCTGTTCCAGGGCGGCCGGTCACGGAGGGGTCAACGTGGAGTGGGACGCTCACGCGACTGGGGCTTTTGGGGAATGCAGAGGGGGGCAGCCGGCCCGCTAACCCAGGGTGAGGGCCAGACGGTCTCTAATTGGAGGTTGGGACGGTCAACAACTGATGGGACGCCGGCCTGAATGAGGGTGGCCGGTCATTAACCCGGGGTGCGGGGGTGGGTTGGGCGGGGTCACTGAACTGGGGTGCGGGGATGGGGTGGGCGGTCACTGAACTGGGGTGCGGGAATGGGCTGGGCGTTCACTGAACTGGGGTGCGGGATGGCGTGGGAGGTCATTGAACTGGGGTGCGGGATGGGGGGGGCGTTCACTGAACTGG